AGTTGGTTACTATATTTGCTATAATTATGCCCCTGATGACAATATTTAGTTTATACAGCATAGTAACAAACTACTGTTTTGTACCGTTATATTTGATACAACTCACTGAGACATTTTTATCTATTTTATTTATCAAGCAACTTTCTAAATAAATAATCATTATATTTATGTTATTAACTAAATTATAAATTTTAATTTGTTTAGAATTCTTTTAAAAAATTAAAATGTTTTTCACTATAACTATATTATTAGGTAATTTAAAACTTATATCATTTTTAAAAATAGATAATTATTTTATAATTACAGTACATAAATTAATTTACAAAATTATATTATATAATGAATACTGGTAGGTTTAAAAACAATTATAGTTATTTAAATATCTAATTATTTTATGACATTTATAAGCTAAATAAATCTATTGCAAAGTGTACAGTAAGTTACAAAATACATTGCATTGAATAAATGTAATAAGTATAAAGGTGTTTCCCACAACTTATAATAACTAATTAAATACGGTATACACAACATAAACAAAGTTGTCATAGTTTTTGATATTAAAATGACACAAACATTAAAATGACATTTATTACATTATATTAAATGCTACCAAACCTTAAATGTTTTAAATTAAATTAAGGGTTTTAATATATTAAACATAATGGACCCTATAGCACGTAGTAGTTCATTTTTGTGTATTAAATGGACCCTGTTTACCATGTGCATACTAAACTATATCGGTGCATTAATTTCTATCATCAGTTTGGCGGCAATAATACCTTTGACTGCACAGGATAGCAAGGTAACTTTATAAAATATTACTAAAAACAATTTAAACATGTTAATATAAAATAATGTCAATTAATACCAAATTATTAAAAATGATTCAACTCAATTTTATAATGGAGTTTATATAATATTAATGTATGTTGTTAATTATTTGTTTATTTAATATTCAGACCACAATTATAGTGATCCTGGTGGTTACAGGCATAGCCAGTCTACTCATACCTACCATTGGGATGATCGGGACACTTAAGCACCACTACGGTATGGCCATGACATTTGCCATATCAATGACCGTGGCCACCGCGTTTAACATCTACTGCATGACACGATTCAAAGGAATCGTACCCAACTTTTTAGTGCAGCTTGGTGAAACTATATTAGCCTACATGTTTGCCATGCAATGCAATAAAATGAGGGAAAGTCGCATACACAACATGGAGGCTGCCATGAGAGGTGATAACCAGGCTCAATTGTTTGTCATTACCGATCCAAGTGCTCAACTACATGACATACCCACTACTTCGTACGCCACCCAACCGGCTCTTAATCCTCAGTACGATCAACAATATGGCGGTCAATACGGTCACCAATATGACGGACAGTATGGGGCACAGTATGGCCCTCAATACGGGCACCAGTATGGTGGTGATGTCAACAAGGTCAACCCGATAGGGTTTGAACAAATTGCTCCTGCTACACAAAATGGCGCTTATCCTATAAAGGAGTTTGAAAGAGGGTATTCACGAATGGGTGACCGCCCTATACCGGTAATTGCCCCGGTCATGAGCGTGGACCATGATGATCAACCACCTCCTTATTCAATACCAAGTCCTTATAATTTTGCGTATAAATAATTACAGCATGTCAACTTTTTAAGTTTCTAATGTATTAGAGTATTAAATGATTACTTTTTTTTGTTACACTGGTATAAGTATGCTATTAATATTATATTTTATATAATGCTTGTTTATGAAAAGTATTGCTCAATGAATGACATTTTTGTTTAAATCAAATAATTCATAATAAACGTGTGATTTCTAAAAATGCAATTTAAATAATATAAATTCATTTAATAGTTTTTAAATATAAATCATAATTTATTAGAGGTCAGTTCAGTATTTTACATTATTATTATACTAATAACATGTATATAAAACAAATTCATAAATAAGTTTTAATATAAAATTATATTTAAAATATGTTTTAATGTTTATAGAATACCATATGAAATGGTAAGCAAATGGACCCAAAAGTTATTCTTATCCTGATCAATTAAGTATTAATTAAATAAATAAAATATTGCAATAAATCTAGTAACTGACAAATGACATTACAAAATATATATGCAATAACTAAGGTATGTTTTATGTAATGGCACAATTTTTAACTCTATGGCGCACGCTTAAGACTTAATTGTTGGGATCAAACTATGGGTCATTTTGTAGGCCTGTTATTATTGATTATGAATATCAAATGTTTTACAGTATC